AAAAAAATAAAGTATAGCATTCTTAACCTGGATAATAAAGGTATATCACCCCCCCACCATGCTAACAGGTTTTGACCTTTTCAGTCAGACATATACAATGTCAGTACTAAGTAGAAGATTCATTAAATGGCTTCTAGAGAGTCACAGCTTACCTGATCCTCAGAAAGTTGTTTATTTTCACGCAGATTCTAGAAAGGACTCTAATGACTAGGAAAAAACAGTTATCCTAGAACAGTGGTGGCAAACCTCTCGCATGCATGCGGCAGCCAGCTGTTTATCATCATTGAGAGCTCTGAAAGGTTCACCACCCTTATCTTAGAAGTATTTATAGGGTAATGTTCAGAGTTGTTACCAAGAGAACTCATACAGCTAGTTGATATTCAAGTAGGGGTACATTTGAACAGAAGACAAGTGGCATGACTGCTAACTTTTAATTCACATACTAAGAGGGAATATGAAATCTTAAACATAGAAAACTAATATAGGAAACATTATTTGTATGTTTTAAATAGCACAACAGAAATTGTAAATAGAATCCAACCTGAGTGATCTTTGTTCCAGTAATAAATTTCAGAGCTGCTGTTGTCTCTTCTTCAGAAATGAAGAGTCCATCTAAATGTGTTAGAGTCTTTAATCTGCCAATAACACTCAGCCTCAATGTGGCTGGCTTGGGAAAAATAGCAAAAAGTTAATTTTCACAAAAGATTAAATACATTATGAATGTTCCTTCACTCCTTTCTGTATAATTCAAAATTATATGTTTCCTTATTTATTATGCAAAAGGTGTGATTATAAATACAGTGATTATTTAAATTTCAAAAATTAATATAGTAAGTAAAAAAACACCCTGCCAAGAAGCTAAGATAAATGTGGGTGAAGGTACAGGGAGTATATTATTTCAAGGGGCATTAATGGTACTTCTCTTTTTATTATAATATGATTTTGAAAATTTAAAAATCATATTACAATATGATTTAAAAATTAAAAAAATTTTAAGATCGGGCTGGGGATTTAGCTCAGCGGCAAAGCGCCTGCCTGGCAAGCGCAAGGTCATGAGTTCGGTTC